AAAATTACTATTTATGAAAATAATTGAATGTTTAAATAGAATTATTTTATTAAAATGTTTTTTAAATAATTAAATTTTTATGGAACACTTTATTAAATTAGTAGATATTGAAAATCATTGAATTAAGAAAAATTAAACAAAATAATTAAATGTGTGCGTAGAAATTTATAAAAAAAATTATATCCAATTTTTGATCCAAGAAGCGAAAAAGATCATTTTATTAGCAAAGTTTAACTAATTTTTCACTTTTTTTTTTACTGATCTGTTATTAAAATAAACTGGTATTTCTCACTAATTGAGAAGAAAAAATTCAGTCACTGATTGTCACACAAATGTTAATTTTTTCATTTAAGATATAAATATTATTCTTAAAAAGAATTTATTAAATTTTGTTGATATAAAATTAATAGTGTCACGCTCCGAGGAAAGGTATACCTAAGAAGCAAAAAATTTGAGGTTGTTTTTAATTTTTTGAGTAAAAATACAGAAAGAGAATCAATTATTAATTAAAAATTATTGATCTTCAAGTCTTCATTATATCTAAAGTAATTTAATGAAAATTTGTTTCAAAGTCAAATAATTAAAAATAAACTTTTAATCAAAATAAATCTAACACCTATAATTCGTTTGCTTCTTTGGTATACCTTTCTTGGGAGCGCGGATATAAAATATTAAATTTTATGTCTCAATTTGATATATCAATAGAAAAACAATGCAGTTAAAACTATAATGATTTTTAACTGAATCAAATTTAGAGAGTTAAAGGATTATTTAAAGAAGATAATCAAGCAATTAATATTGATAGGAAACTAATTTACAATGAATAACGTTTTTTAAATTCTTTCATTGTTTTTTTGTTTGTAAAAAAAAGGGAGAAAAACCTGCACCTGCTCGATTGATAATGAATTGAAATGAAGCGTCGAGAAAAATGCGAGGAAACACGTTTTTGAACATGTGTGGTGTGAGATTACCAGAATGAATGACGTCATTTATACAAAGATGTGTGCACCAACTTAGTTGGTAAGTCACTGCCTCGAGTATTGTTGGTGTCGATATACATAGTAAAATATGTGAGTGGGAGAGAGAGAGAAAGAGAGTATGGTAATTGTCGTCATACTTGGTGGGAGTTGAGAGAGAGAAAGAGCACCTTCACTAAAACCGCCATTCCGAGGGGATGTGAGATTCGAGGTCTAACAATTTAGTTTGCGATTGAAATGAATCCGACTCTTGATACCTAAAACCCCTTTCTCTCTGCCTCTCTCACTCACTCTCTGACTTTCTTCAAGGAAGAACTTGAAGCGGAACACAGATCCACGAGATCAAGATGCTTGATTAACATTGATTACCGTCCAATCATCCTGTCATGGTTACTTTATAAAATAACACTTTTCATTTGTAGTTTATTTCCAATTTTCCACTGATTTCTATAGCCGAAACACGTTTGCTTTGATTTAATTGAATTTAAAATCCCTTTTTTTATTTTTCTTGTATATAACAAACATTATATTAAAACTTTCTCGCACAAAAGTATTTTTAACAAACTTGCCTTTCAATTATTGGATTCTGTTTATAAACTGGACCATAATTTTTTAACTTCCCAAAAGTTGTGGTAACAAATAATAATTACTATTAGTAAATGAATTAAGCAATTCACAGTTCTCCTAAAGATTCCAAATTCGCAACACTTCTGATTCGTTATTTGTGATTAAATTAAAAAAAATGGATTCAAAAAAATTGACTCAAAAAGAAAATTCTGATTTGAAAAAAATTGATTTAAAAGAAGTTTTCACTGTAAAAATATCGATTTAAAGAAATTCTTCACTGTAAAAATTATTTTCTTTTGAAATTGAAAATATAATAATTGATTCTAAAAAATTAATTTTCAAAAATAAATTCAAAAAAAATAGTATACAAGATTTCTTTTAAAAGAAATCTTCTACTTGAAATCAAGTACAAGAATGTGACAAGAGCCCAGTGACAAAAATAATGAAATTTAAAACATAATTTTCTATAATAAGATAAAATTTTAGTATATATAATTTAAATCTCTTAATGACGTCTAATACGCATTAAAAAGAAATTTTCCCCAGGAGCCATTCTAAATATGAAAGTGTATTTTCAAATGAAGAAAAGTCATTAGGATTTTGATCCCCAATGTCTGATTTTATCACACCATCACACTTTTGTTATATTGTAGACGAAATTACTATATACATTATGACAATGCCTCTAAATATCCCATTTTTCTATTTAATATGTGCGACAATATTTCATTTCAAAGAAGACAATTTTTATTTCTCCTAATGGGAAACAAAGTAAGAAAAATTTACACACAGTATATATACATTTACAATATATACGAAATGAAGAAATAAAAGCACTATTTGACTAAGTAGAAACAATTGTTCTCTTTTCAAATTGAAAATGTAGCAAATTCACTATTCTGACTTTTTATTGGGATAAATATTTTCTTTTGAATTTGAAAAATTTACAAACAGTTTCACTAGTTTGAGAGAAAATTCGTTTAAAAAGAAAATTGATTTCAAAAAATTGATTAAAAAAATTCATTAAAAAAAGTGAATAAAAAAAATTTATTCTAAAAATTGGTCCCAAAAAAATTGACTTAAGGAAAAAATAGATTTGAACAAAATTTATTTAAAAGAATTTTTCACTGTTGAAATTATTTTCTTTTGAAATTGAAAATGTAAAACAACTGGGCTGCTTTGAAAAAAAACTAATTTAAAAAGCAACTGATTTCGAAAAACTGATTTAAAAAATTGATTAAAAAAATTGATTAAAAAAATTGATTAAGAAAACTGACTTAAAAGAAGTTTTCAATGTAAAAATATTGATTTAGAAAAATTGGTCACTGTAAAAATTATCTTTTGAAATTTAAAATATGAAAATTGTACTACTTTGAAAAAAAATGATTCAAAAAAACCAATTAATTTCGAAGAATTGATGCAAAAAATTAATTTAAAAAATCGACTTAAAAGAAAATTGATTTAAAAAATGTTTTTTTTACTGTAAAATTAATTTCCTTTGAATTGGAAATATAATAATTGATTTTAAAAAATTAATTTTAAAAAAATATTCAAAAAAATTGACTTTTAAGAAAAATGACTTGAAAAAAATTTATTTAAAAGAATTGTTTACTGTAAAAATTATTTTCTTTTAAAATTGAAAATATGAAAAGGGAAAATTTCAATTAATTTAAAAAATTGAGTTGTAAAATTGTTTTTAAAAAACTAAGTTTAAAAAAGGATGAAAAAATTTGCTTTAAAAGAAGTTTTCACTGTAAAAATTATTTTCATCTGAAAATATAATAATTTAGTTATTTATTGAAAATTTATTGAAAATTGCAACTAATTTTTTAAAAATTAAGTCGGAAAATTAATTTTAAAAAATTGATCTAGAAAAAAACATGATCTAAAAGAAAATTTAATTAAAAAAATTATTTTAAAAGAAGTTTTCTCAGTAAAAAAATTTTTTTTTTTTTTTGAAATTGAAACAATTCTATTAACTTGATGGAAGAATTTTTAAAAATGAATTTCAATAATTCATTTAAAAATTTTGAATTCAAAAAATAAATTCAAAGAATTTATTTAAAAACGTGATTTAAAGAAATTTTCAGTGTAAAAATTAGTTTTTAATAAAATTGAAAATATAACAAAGGAAAATTGCAATTAATTTTAAAAAATTGAGTTGTAAAATTGTTTTTGAAAAACTAATTCTAAAAAAGGATGAAAAAAATTGGCTTTAAAATAAGTTTTCACTGTAAAAATTATTTTCTTCTGAAAATGTAATAATTTATTTATTTATTGAAAATTTATTGAAAATTTCAACTAATTTTAAAAAAAATTAAATTTTAAAAATTGATCTAGAAAAGAACATGATCTAAAAGAAAATTTAATTAACAAAATTAATTTAAAAGAAGTTTTCTCAGGGAAAATTATTTTTTTTTTGAAATTGAAACAATTTTATTTTAAAAATGAATTTGAATAATTCATTTAAAAAATTTGAATTCAAAAAATAGATACAAAAGATTTATTTAAAAGAAGACTGATTTAAAGAAATTTTCAGTGTGAAAATTAGTTTTATATTTAAATTGAAAATATGAGAATTGCACTACTTTAAAAGAAAATTTATTTAAAAAACAATTTATTTTGAAAAATTTATTCAAAAAATTGTCTAATAAGAAAATTGGTTTCAAAAAAATTAATCTAAAAAAATTTCTCACTGTAAAAATTATTTTCTTTTGAAATGGAATATGTAGGAATTGAAAAATTTAAATTAATTTTAAAAAATTGATTTAGAAGAATTTTTGACTGTAAAATTTTTTTTTTAAATTAAAAATATGAAAATTGCACTACTTTAAAAGAAAACTGATTCAAAAAAACCAATTGATTTCAAAAAATGGACTCAAAAAATTAATTTAAAATAAAATTGATTTAAAAAATTAATTAAAAGAAATCTACTTAAAAACAGGATTAAAAACCTTTGATCTTGAAGACAGTAAAAATTTGTTAAATTTTGAGAATGAAATTCTCAAAAAAATTAATTTTATTAATTAAATTAATTATTAATTATTATTATTAATTATTATTAATTATTAGGTTAAATTAATTTTTTTGAATTATTAAAATATTTGAATATTATTTTTGGAGCCAAAAATCCAAAAGAATTTTTAAATTATTAACTCAGTGTTGATTCAAAAAAAAAAGGAAAGAGGAAAAAAAATAAGAAGAATTTAAAAAAAAACTGCTAATTACTGAAAAATGTAAAATTGAGCAGAAATGGATAAAATTTAAAAAGAGAGGAAAAAGTTTGAAGAAATCTGAGAAATGGGGAAAAATGAAGAAATCGAAGCAATAGCCTCTGGTGGATGAAGAGACTAAGTAATACCCTCGTGGAACCACCTCTCTTACGAGAAAGACGCAAGAGGTTTCTACGCCACCTCCCGCCACTTCAATGACGACAATCACCTTTTCTGCCCCACCAACTCAAAACGTATCGCTACCAAGAGCGACTGGCACTTCATTGAGTTACGGACTGCAATCTGGTGTGCGTCGATTCCACATCGGTTCCACTCACTCATTTTCCACGCGTTTTCAAATTTTTCTCAAAAAAAACAACACCGCGTCCCTTCCCCTTCAAAAAAAAAAATAATTTCCACATTTTTTTTCAAAAAATCCCCCCCTCCCAAAAGTGCAATTGTCTCCTGAAAAAGTAACAATAACAACAGTGAAATTATTATTCAAGTGAAAAAAAAGTGTGAAAAAAAATTCAATTTTTTTTCAAAAATTTTTATATATTCTCAAAGTGTGACGGATATTTTTCAAAAAAAATCTCAAAAATAGATTTTTCTGTTCATAAATAAAATCTGTGGAAAGTAGAAAAAAACTACAATAACAGTGCTTTTTTGAAAAAAAAAAATAAATGTGATTTGATTGTTGACAATTTTTCCAAACCTGGATTCTAAATTTTTCACGTGTGTGCGTTGTTTCGCGCTTCTTTTAATGCCCACGTGACTTTGAAAAAGCACCATAATTTTTTGTTTGACAATTTTTTATCAAAATTCTCGGTGTTATTTTTATTGTGATAAACTGTAATAAGGAAAGAGGGAAAAATAGAGAATTTTTGTAAAAGAAAAATAAAGTGAAGTTCAAGGGTAAAATATTTGCAAGTGAATAAATCGAAAAAAGTAAAGCGCGTGTTCGTGTCTTCTGAACGCACATGACAATTGAATATATATGTATAGTGAACAGTCAAGTTCCGCGCACGATTTTCGCAAAAGAACGTGGGAATCTTAATTGGAATTCCATTGTCGAAGACAACGGATTCTCATCTTTTTAATTTTTCAAACAAGGTAAATTTTCAATTTTAGAGTGCGCGAAAAATATAGAAAATGTAAATTATTACTGAAAATTTTACTCTTAATTTTACGTATTTTTCCAAATAAAAAATTTCTACAATGAAAGGAAAGAATGTTAAATGAAATTTTTACTATAGAAAATTGGTTAAAAAAAATAGTGTTTGGAATTTTTGCAAAAATTCTTTGTTAATTAATTCATTGTTTTTTCTACTTCCGGAAGGTGAATTTTTCTGCATTTGAAGTAATTTTTTATCAGAAGGAATTTTTAGAAAGAAAATATATCTAATTTTTATTTTCAATCTATTATTAATTTTTATTTTCGTAGTAAACTTTTACTATTTGGAAGTAATTTATTCAAAGAAGTAATTTTTATTAAAATCAATTGGTAATTTTTTATTTTTATAGTAAATTATTTCCAGAAGTAATTTTTATTAGAAAGTAGAAAGTATTGGTAATTTCAATTTTCGAAGTAAACTTTTACTATTTTGGAAGTAAATTATTCTTAGAAGTAATTTTTATTAAAATCTATTATTAATTTTTTATTTTCATAGTAAACTTTTATTAAATGCTATTAGTAATTTTTTATTTTCATAGTAAATTATTCTCAGAAGTAATTTTTACTAGAAAGTGGAAAGTATTGGTAATTTTAATTTTCGGAGTAAACTTTTACTATTTCGGAAGTAAATTATTCTCAGATGTAATTTTTACTAACAACTATTAGTAATTTATATTTTCATAGTAAATTTGTCACCATTATAGAAGTAATTTAATTTCAGAAGTAATTTTTACTAAAAAGTATTTTTCTAAAAAAATACTTAAAAGTATTTTCGAAGTAAATTTTTACTATTTTGGAAGTAAATCCCTCTTCGGAGGGATTTATTTTTTTTCGTAAAATAGTAATTTTTACTATTTTTTTGTTTTTGTTTTGTTTTTTCTTTTGAGACAAAATTTTTCTGCATTAGAAATATTTTTTGCTAATTTCGAGAGTTAATTTGTACTACTTTTCTTAATAAATTTCTCTCCGAATTAACTTTAACAAAACTTTATTATTAATTTGTATTAACTTCGGAATAAATTTTACTGCGACCGAAGTAATTTTTAATAAAATTTATCAGTAATTTTTACTATATGCAAAGTAATTATTACTAAAATTTATTACTAATTTTTTTTTACTGTGTTTGGAGAATAAATTTTACTGCGTCCAAAGTAATTTTTCCTAATTTTTCCCCGAGATTAAAGTTTACAATTTGCAAAAAAATGTTTACTACATTTGACTTATATTTAGAATAAATTTTTCGCAAAAATTTCTAAATTCTATCAAATTTAGAAAAATTTACTTCAAAAATAGTGCAAATTAGAAAAATCTTGGTAAAAATTACTTCAAGCGTAGAAAAATTTTCTTTGAAAATAGTAAAAATTTTCTTCAGTCGTAGAACAATTTATTTCGAAAAGCAGTAAAAATTCACTAATAAACTGCATTTTGAAAATAATTATTTTATTCATTTGGAAAAAAATGAATAACTATTTAGTGATTTTTTTATTTAATTCAATGCAATACATTAGAATTAAATTTTAAAAACTTGAATAGAATATCATGGTTCAAGTTTACTTGCGATTCGTAGTTTAGAAAAAATTTAATTTGCACCGAAACTTGAATAAAGCATCATAGATCGAGTTTTGGTTCTTACAATTCAAAATTATTCAGAACAATTTGTTCAAAATTTGTTCATAAATAATTCTTTAAAATATAATTTCTTTACACTATTTGTATCACTTTTGTGATTCATTTTTGTTTGAATAAAAACAGAAAAAATTTAGAGTAACCTTAACTATTTACAAAGTAATATTCAAAATTTCTACATTTTATTTTATCTTTGTTTGTTATTAAAATTTTTTATTTACTCTTTTAATATTCATTACAAATTTAAAAAAAAATTTCCCCCACACCAATTTTTTCTATTTCGGAATAATTATTGCTGGGTTCGAAATAGATTTTACTCATTTTTTTTTCCTAAAATTTTCTAATTAATACTTAATAGTAGTAATTAGAATTTACTAATTAGTAATTTTGATATTAAAAATTCACTTATCGGGAAATATTACAAAATTTCTAATAGAAATTCACTATGAATTTTACTTTAGTCTTTGTTGCTTACATCACTCCATAAATCTGAATTAATAAAAATGTTTAAACTAATTTGAATTAATTACTGACATTTTTAAATTCAATTATTTAAAGTTTTACTGCGGAAAAATTTTATTTCATTTTTTTAATTTACTACAAATTTTATTTTTAATGTATTTATTTTATTTTTATTATTTTTTTATTTTTATTTATTTACTTAATATTTACGTTTATAAACTATTTATAAATATTTACAATTTAATTTATAATTAATGTAATTTAATTCGATTATTTTATATTTTGTTAATTCGATTCATTTCGTGGTAAATTTTTATTATAATTTTGGAAATAAATCTCTTTCCGAAGTAATTGTTATTAAAATTTGTTAATAATGTTTATTTTTAAAGTAAATCTTTACTATTTTGGAAGTAAATTGTTCTCTGAAGTAACGTTTACTAAAATTTATTAGTAATTTTTAATATTTTGTTTTCTTTGACACAAAATTTTACTGCATTAGAAATATGTTTTGCTAATATCAAAGAAAAATTTTTACTACTTTTTCAGTAAATTTCTCTCCAAAGTAATTGTAAGAAAAATTTATTATTAATTTGTATTAACTTCGGAATAAATTTTACTGCGACCGAAGTAATTTTTAATAAAATTGATCAGTAATTTTTACTATTTGCAAATTAAATATTATTAGGGGAATGTAGTCAAGGTTGGCCTACTGTCTAGGTAGGCCACTCGCGTTTTTTTGTCAAGTTCACTAGCGCCACCTACGCGCATTTTTGTCGAAGCTTGTCTTAGTGAAACCTAACTTTTTGTTCAATTACATTTTCGGAAAATCGAAAATTGTGTTTTCTGTGACGTCGGTACAAAAAAAGCTCAAAAAAAGTTTTGTGCATAATGTGAAAAACCATTAATAAAAGATAAAAAACAAATTGAATCGTCAAGGCAAGTATGCAGAAAATTTGTGGGACTCATGGTTGAAAGGAAAACAAAGTAAAAAATCGAATCCCGAAACGTATTTCTTTATGGTTACAACAATTCGGTAATGTTACTTACTGTCAAGGTCGGCCACTATGTGTTTAAAATGCGCAAAGTTGAGGACGAGCTACTTCATTTGCAAAAACTGCAATTCTGTATAACTCATAATATAATTGATCATCTTATTAATATTTTTATTTAATTTTATTAATATTTTAGTGCAAAAATTTTTTTTATTTATATTTATTTTTTTATATTGTTTATTGTTATTATTTTGTTATTTCATTAAGTTACAAACTGTAAACAATAAAGAATCAATTTTCCGTAACTCTAAACATGTCATTTTATTTTTTAACGATTAATGCCCTTTGAATTTTAAACATGGCCGACCTTGACTGTAATGGCCAACCTGGACTACAAATTTTTTTTTTTTTAAATCTTTATAACTTTTTCATTTTTAAACCTGTCAATTTACTTTGTACAGAAAAAATGTTCCTATTAAACAGGACTTTCCAACCATATACTTCAATTGTCCAAATTCATTTTTAAAAAAAAGTTATAAACAAAAGTCAAAAAGGTGGCCGACCTAGACTATGTTCCCCTACTAAAATTTATTACTGATTTTTTTACTATTTTTTAAGAATAAATTTTACTGCGTCCGAAGTAATTTCTACTAATTTTGAAGTCAATTTTACTTGGTCCGTAGTTTTTCGAAGAAAATTATTACTAATTTGTACAATTTTTGGAGCATAAATTTTACTACGTCTATATTTTTAATTTTGTAGTAAATTTTTATTATTTTGGAAGTAAATTCTTCTTAGAAGTAATTTTGTACTAAAATGTCTAAAATTCATTAGTAATTTTTAAATTCATAATGTTTAATTTTTAATTAATCAATATTTTTGGAGTAAATTTCTTTCCGAAGTAATTTTTTGCTCAAATTTATTAATGTTTTTAACTTCGAAGCAACATCAATTACAATTTAATTGAGTTCAATTAATTTAACTTTTGTTAATTCGATTAATTTAAATTAATAAATTATTACTATTTTGTACGTAAATTTTTTTCAGAAGTAATTTTTCCTAAAATCTATTAGTAATTTTTAATTTCGTAGTAAATTTTTATTATTTTGAAAGTAAATTTCACTCCGAAATAATTTTTACTAAAATTCACTAGTAATTTTTCATTTCGTAGTAAATTTTTGAATATTTTGGAGGTAAATTTCTCTCAGAAGTAATTTTTTGCTAAAATTTATTAGTAATTTTTCTAACTTTGAAGTAACTCTAAGTTCAATTTAATTGAATTCAATTAATTTAATTGAATTCAATTAATTTAATTGACATTAATTTGATTATTTTAAATTAATAAATTTATACTATTTTGTAAGTAAATTTTTCTCAGAAGTAATTTGTATTTAAATTTAATAGTAATTTTTAATTTTGTAGTAAATTATTACTATCTTGGAAGTAAATTTCTCTCCAAAGTAATTTTTTGCTCATAATTATTAATAATTTTTTGAACTTCGAAGCAACGGCAATTACAATATAATTGAGTTCCAAGTAATTTAATTTTTGTTAATTCTATCAATTTAAATTAATCAATTATTACTATTTTGAATGTAAATTTTTCTCAGAAGTAATTTTTTGCTAAAATTTGTAAGTAATTTTTAATTCCATAGTAAATTATTACTATTTTCTGAGTAAATTTTACTGATGTAATTTTTAATTTTTTAGTCAATTTTCAGAATTTGGAAAGTAAATTTTTATCCAAAAGTAATTTTTTGCTAAAATTTATAAGAAATTTTTAATTCAGTAGTAAATTATTACTATTTTCTGAGTAAATTTTACTGATGTAATTTTCTCAGATGTAATTTTTTTTTATA